ATATAAATATATATTATAATATTAATAATAATAAATCTGTAAAAAAATATATGTTAATTTAAAATTTATAAATAATATGTAACAATTTCAGCCTGGATTACCTCAGTCTGGAAAACAGGTTTATCAAAAGAAAAAAGAGCTTCAGAATGACTGCATTTGACAAAGTGTACAGCACAGTGTCTCTGCAGCACTGGTTTGGTACTGGTGGTGAAAATAATGCTCTGGCAGGTAGAAATCACTGGAAGATCCAGCTGTGAACATGTATTATTTCCCCTCATATGGACAAACATAAGTGTCTCTCAGGTACCATTTGATTTCAAACTGTCAGCTGAAATTTGTGCAGATGATGATGATGACACCAGCAGGACTATTGAAAAATATGTTTTTAAATAAAAATGCCATTTCTCCTTGGCAGATTGAAACAGCACAGGAACACTATGGAGCCATTTCCAAGGCCAATGCTCTTACAATATTCAAGGTACCACTCTCCTCAAAATGCATTTTTGTGCAAGAACCTTTCCAAGTGTGGTTTATTCCTGATGCCCAGGCGTGTGTCATCCACAGCCTGCAATGGCAGCAGGAAGCAAAGGTGCAAAACAGGATGGGGAAAGGGGAGTTTAGATGGGATATTGGGAATTGTTCCCTGGCACAGGTGCCCAGAGCAGCTGTGGCTGCCCCTGCATCCCTGGCAGTGCCCAAGGCCAGGCTGGCATTGGGGTTTGGGGACTCCTGGGACAGTGGGAGGTGTCCCTGCCCATGGGGTGGAATCCCATCTTTAAGGTCTCTTCCAACCCAAAACACTCCTGTACACTGTGGTGCTGCTCACAGGGGTCTGAGGGTGAGGGAAGAGATGAGGATCTGACTCCATGTTCCAGAAGGCTGATTTATTATTTTATGATATACATTATATTAAAAGAAAATGATATATTAAAACTATACTAAAAGAAAAGAAGAAAGGATGTCACCAGAAGCCTAGCAAAGGAAAGGAATGATAATAAAATCTCGTGGCTGCTCACAGCCTCGACACAGGTGGCTGTCATTGGTCATCAAGTAAAAACAATTCATGTGCTGGGTAAACAATTCTCCAAATCACACTCCAAAGCAGCAAAACATGGAGAAGCTGAAGCTTCCCAGCTTCTCAGGAGAAAAGATCCTAATGAAAGGATTTTTTATAAAATATGTCTGTGACACTGCAGTAGGACAGAAATCCTATTCTGGAATCGCACCTGTTTAACTTCACTTTGTTTTAAAGGAATAAAACGTTTCCAAAGCCAAAAACATACAATTAATTCAACTTACAGTTCCCTGAAAAAACAGCACGTTGCTATTCAAGAGTTGCAGAAGAGAAGCAATCAGAGCATCCAAATATTTCTGGCATCTGAGACTCTTTCCATGCCATGTTATTCATGAAGCAGAGCCCTGCTGGAACTTGCAGGTCTCCAAATGGCAATACAAGAGGCATGAGCAAAAATTTGCAAGTCTAAACACTCATTTGGAACAGACATGACATTATTCAGTGAAGGATTTGTCACGGCAAACACTGAGCAATAAACTGGGATCTATTTTTCCATGATCTAATATTATTTCCTATCAGCATGTCACAACTCTGACACAATATCCTGTGAGCTGAATTGATCCCTGCCCTTCAAATCCTGCCTCATTTATGGATTAAACCCACATTTATCAGGGAGTTACATGAAGAGGGAGGACAAATCCTTGCTGCTTTATCCATGCAGGAACGTCCCTGCCACACCGCGTGAAACAGGAACACAGAGCACACAAGGCTCATTAGGAATACAGAATTTCCTTGCAATTTCCAAGCAACAGTTCCACAAAATTCTTGTTATTTATTTAATTTCTTGGGTTTTGGTTTTTCAAATAAATTTATTTATTTATTGGGTTATGGTCACATTCTCCATGGGAATAATGCAGCAGGATGTACACCAATGTATAACTAATGTTGAGTTTTTTCAGGCAAACCAAAATTTGTTGAAATGTTCAAATAACCATCAAGCAAATCTTCACTTCTACCATTAAAAATCATCTTTTTCTCTGTGTATAAAGCAGCTTTAAGCCACCCCAGACAACACAAAAGGACCATGCCTCATTGCCTGCTCCTCTCTCAAAGAGCAGAAACACCTCATAAATCCAAAATCAATGTCAGCTGAGGAAAACTGACTGTACTAAACAAATATAAATCACAATATACAGGAACAGAAATAACAACTGAAGAGGAGCTACACAATAATCACAATACAGTTCAGTAGTAACAGGAGGTAAAACCCTACAGGAACTCAGATTTGCTTTACTGAGGGCTTTGTCACTCGTTAGATACCAATTTTGGAACAAAATCAGTAGCAGAGAAAAATCATTTTTAGATCTCCATATGTCTAGCTTTCCCCATTCTTGGCAGAATGGGCAAAAATTAGCATCACATGAATGTTTTTTAACCAGCTGCACATTAACTGTGTCCAACATTAGGTTTGGGATATTGAGATGTTTGTTGGATTGACAGCCCTTTAAAACCATTAAAGACATCACAGTAACACAGTAAAAAGTCAAAATAGCTGTAGAGATTTCAGTGCAATTTAAAGGTTGTAACAACTGGAAAAGTAAAGTAGCAGGAGAGATACATAAATCCAATTTTGACACTATTTTACCTTTGGAGCATGTGGGTGAGATGAACTGCTGATTTTTGGTGGCAAAAAAAGGGTATTTTAACAGGTTCCCTGCAACAGCATTCAAAGATCCAGAAGTATGGCCATGCAGAACGATGACAGATGACCATCTTAATTATCCAAACATCACTGCTCAATTATGGCACAACTTTGGGTATTTAACATAAAACCAGCCTGGACCAGAAAAATATTTGGGGCAAAAAGTCTTCACACTCAAATCCAGTCATTTACCAAATCTTCCACTCAGTGAATCCCAAACAAGACTGCTAAAAAAGGGAATTTTATTTAATTTCCAGAAAGGGGAAATGTGGTAACTTAAAAGAAAGAGATTTGTGGTTCGTAAATGGAGTTTCATTGTTGGTTTAATGCTGGGTGTCCACAGGCCAGAGGAGCTGGAACTGCACACTCAAAAGGACAAAACCACTGCTCACTGCAGGAATAATTTGCTCCCTGTTGAAAAGGGGTATTCACATGACTTATGTAAATATCTGTGCCTAAGATAAGCAAGGAAAAAAATATGATAAATTGCAGAAGGGAAGCAATTTTCCTTTTCCATACTGTGAGCTGGCATTTCTTTGGGGATGAGCATTGCTTTCTATTGTAACTGGGATGCTGTACATGGAGGAATAATCACTATTTAATCAAGTCTCTTCTTGCAAACTCTTTGCAGAGAATGCAAGAAATAAGTGCAATTAAGTTAGCAAGATCTTAGAAACTGCACAACACACCAGAAAACAAAAGCAGAGTATTTTGGGGGCTACAGGGGGAGAGGAAACAAACTGGTGGAGCACGTTTTTAGAATTAGCATTGTCTGGAATTATTTGATAGCTCAGCGCAATAAATACAGACTCCAAGTACAAAAAAAGAGTCAGATCAGTGATCTGGAAAGGGCTGAACATCCCTGAGGGCCAGGTTAGCTGGTCCTAAACCATCCCTGCTCTTGCTAACAAACCACTTCTGCTTCCTGGCTGGATGTTTTATCCCAGGTTTCCTGCCCTGCATCCCACCCTGCAGGGCTGTTTGGTGTCACCTTGCTACAGCTTTATTCCAGTGAAGAAAGGGTTTTTTCCCACCTTGCTCCACATCTCCTGAAAACTTGAACATTTAATCCTCCAACTCTCAGACAGATTCAAGGATTTGAAATAATTCTGGTAGCATTTCTCAATGCCATTTGGTAACTCTGGGAGAGCTCGGCTCTGTTTTTGCGTGAACACCACAATTAGTGTGGGGGTGTCAATCACCTCCCATCTGCTGACTGCAGAGGGAATTCTCACCTCTCCCAGCCACTGTTCCCAGCACCAGGAGCACGTCTGGCATCACCTCCTGCTCCACACCTCAAACTGAAACCCTGCCAGAGCCAGGCAGTGTTGCCTCAGCTTGGCCATCACCTCTGGGTGCAAACCCACACACAGGACACAGCTGTAGGAACAGCTGGGCCAGTTCAGCCCTGGGGCTGCATCTAGAAGGAAAATTTAATCATTCTAATTCTTATAGATAGCTGGGAGAATGACCCATTTCCTCAGCTGCTGAAAGACAAAGCTGCTGCAAGGCTATAAAGATGATTTAAGGGTATGTATCAGTTTAGAGGGGGAAAAATTCTGCAAGCTCAGACAGTTGTAAAATTGCCACTTTATGGCTGTGTCTGCTTGGACTCTGCCAAATTTATGAGGCCACAACACCTATATTATTGAATATAATGTCTAGCTTTTATCACCTCGTCTTTGCAATCAGATCCAATGTTTAACATCACAGCCCTTCAATAATGACACACCGTATCAATTAAAAACAATAAAACCAGTTCCTTCCAGATATTACTGGAGGCTCAATAGCAATTAGTCCCAGCCTGAGGATGCAGAATGAGGGAAGAAATGCACTTGCAACTTTTGGTCCACCAAGAATCCATATATCCACTTTTCTCACCCCCTGAGTGCAGCAGTGGTTTAAATTACACAGCATCATTCCACCCCACCACAGAATGTCTTGATTGCAAGAACACAGGCACTGCTCAAGGCAACCTGCAATTCTCTGCTCACGGGGAAAACTGGATTCACTGAGCCTCAGCAATTGTGAAATTGGGCAGAATGCAACTCTAGAAGATACTCCATTAATTACAAGAAATCCCATAAAAACCAGACACATTAAGTGCACAGAAATTACTGGGAACGAGATAAAAGTAAATCCTCCTAAATACTTCCCTCCCCCCTCCTTTGTTTTTGGTTTCTTTCTCTCTGCTTTTACTCAGAACTCAAGATTTCATTATAATTCTGATTGTTAGCACTCCAGGGATGCTGCCCAGCCCCACCAGCCCAGGGTCCCCCTTACCTCCAGCCCGGGGCGGGGTCCCACAGAGCAGCACGACGCCCTGGCCTTCGCGCACCGACACCGCGCTCCTCATCCTCGTCCTGGAGCTCTCCACATCTGCCAGGGAACACCAACAGACAGCACAGTGACACTCTGAAACCCTGGCATTCTGAAATTCTGGCATTCCCAAATCCTGACAATCCCAAATCCTGACATTCCTAAATCCTGACAATCCCAAATCCTGGCATTCTCAAATCCTGGCATTCTCAAATCCTGAAAATGCCAAATCCTGGCATTCCCAAATCCTGACAATCCCAAATCCTGGCATTCTCAAATCCTGACAATCCCAAATCCTGGCATTCATAAATCCTGGCATTCCCAAATCCTGGCAATCCCATCTCTCGGTCTGCAGACTCAGCACAGCCCCTGCAGAAGCAAAGGCTGCCTGGCACAAGGGGGGATGACAGAATTAGTGCTGAAGGGATGTAATCTGCAGTAAAATAACTGATCAGATCCTGTGGCTAATTCTGTTCTTATGCCTGGCTTCTGCTACCCTGACTTTGATAACCAAAAAGGAGCCAATGACTTAAAAATGAATCCTTAATCCACTCTTTGGAAATGATGAACAGCATCAAGCTGCCATGTCCAGTGTAAAATTCCACTACTAACAGCTATTCAGCAAACAGACATGGATCTTTCCCAAGAGCAAGGAAGCTCCTGGAGCACATTCCTGCAGGAGAATCCCCTGGAGCATCACTAAGGCACAGCTCACTAAGGCAGAGCTTTGCTCCTCGGTGTGCTGACCCAGGGCTCTGCTCGGCTGGCCTCAGGTCTCTGGGATTATTTTAAGCTGTGTAAGGATCACAGGACACTCTGAGTTGGAAGGGATCCACAAGGATTATTGAGTCCATCTCCTTGTCTTTCACAGGACACCCCAAAAATCATACACAGCATTGTCCAGCACTTCTTGGGGGGAAGCAAACACTTCAGTTTCCATAAATGTAAATGTTTTATCATAAATTTATACAGGCTTTCCCTCTACCTGGTGAGTCAAGATCCAAGAAAGTTGGGCCTCATTATACCCTTAAACTAAATTAAGCTAAATACAACATGTAATACAAACCAAGATCAAAGTCCTACACTTACAAAGGCTTTTCCATAAATAAACCATACAATATTTCCATAACAGAAGACAATTGAAAAAAAAAATGTTTATAAGCTTGCATAGGATGCTAAACGAACACAGTCTTTAAATAAAGCTGTCTTTATAACCAAGCATAATAGGAGCAGTGAGTTGACCCACAGCAGCTATTTCCCCAAAATACAGCATTTTTTATTACTGCAAAGCAACAGCTGTTACAGTGAAAGCACTGAATAAGAGAGACCAGAATTTCAATGCTTCCTTTAAAAAATGCTGCAGTAAGAGAGTATTGTACAATCCTTTGTTAGTACACATAAAGTTCACAGAACATTTCTTAGAAGGGCTGTTTTCAGCTTTCCATGTGAATTTCCACGCAGGCATCCACAGAATAAACTCAGATCTTTTTGCTGGATGTGATGGAGAAGTCACATAAAACCCCAGCCAAAGTGATTTCACTCAGGGATCAAAACAGCACAGCCCTAAATTATTGTTTCAGGCCTTTCCAGCACCTTGCTCTTTCTCCCATAACATTATACATTCATCAGGTGCCCCAACACCATTCCTCAGAGCCATGGAAGGAAAAACCAGGAGCTGACAGCACCTCAGAGAACACACACTGTTCTGTTCCAAGATGAATCACACCCAAAGAATTAATATTTTACACAAAAAAATCATTTAAACCACATTGTGCCCTCTTACATCACAACCATCAGAGGTCATAAATCTCAAATAATACCATTTCCATAACTGAAATGGGTTTTTAAGCCCATGTGCTCATTTATTGCAACTACAGACCTTCAGGACCTTCCTTGAGTGTGTTGTCCAACAAATCCTATGGGCAGGATGGGATTGGGTTGGGAGCACCTTGGGAAGGGATGTGGGATATGCTGGAGGATTGGGAAGGCAATTTGAATTATTAATCATTGATTGCAGGTGAAGACTGTTGTCAAAGATAAACAGTTTTTGGGGAAACAAGAAGCAATGCATATCCATGCAAAAATGGAGAATATGAGCCATGCTGCAATAAAAGAATAATTTTCCACAAATTAGAATGAAGTTCCCCATCCCACCTTCCAGAGCAACTCAACCACCATCACACAGCTGCCCAAATACCAGCACTCAATTTCTCTATACAAACTTCTGTATTCTCTTGTCGGGCACAGCTTTGATAATGAAAAATCAGCATGCAGAACAGGAGCAGGGCTCTTCATTAGCATTACACAGTGAAGTCCCAATCTCTGACCTTGGAGAGCGCTGGCTGCTCCTGAACACGATGCTGGTCTGATTTTCTGGTGCTCCTGCAGCAGATTCAGAGGACTGAAGGTCAAACCCAGACATGTTTGGAAGTGTATCAAGAGTGATTGTTTATCCTTGAGCTTCTTTGTTGGGTTTTTGTTTGATTTTTTAATAAAGCCACTATTGCAATCACAATAACGCCAGGGAGGAGAGCTGGGTCTTCTAACAAAACTTATTATTACACGAACTCATTGGGAAGGGACATGAAGTCCTCAGGGTAAATAAAATCCCTTAAAAGGTGGGCTAATAATGGCACAGCTTGTTTACTTTTACAGATTGAACTGTATCCCTCTGAAATCAGAGGCTCTCATCCTGCTGAAATATCTGTCTTGATAGATAAAATATAACTGGAAACAAAGAGCAGAGATCAGGACAGAAGATGGTTTTGAGGAATGGTGAGTCAGAACAGGATTCACTTTCCAGCACCCATGGGATGACAACATCCCACTGATCACTGAAAGAAAAGGCCAGAAACACAAAAAGTGCTTCTGTATTTTATCTGCTGGACTAAAGACTGGTTTATCCATCAGCAGATCTTTAAAACTCCCTCAAACTGGTCACCAAACTGAAGTGCTTTCATTAGTTTCTCTTGCCTTATTCTTTTCGCTTCCTCCTTGCATTTATTACATCTCACTTCTAATCTCCTTTCATCTGAAAAGCAACTATTCATGGAAAAAAATGAACAATTTATTACTCAACCCTACCAGGCAAAGGCTCTAATCCTGCCACTGAAAATATTTTGGTGAAAATGTTACAAAAATCCTGACTACAAGGGGAAAAAAATCCAACATAAAAACAAAGCTAAAACTGTAATTTGCAAATTAAATGTTTTTATTGCCTGTTTATAGTTTGCCATATAGAAGGAAGTTTAAAATTAGCAACTGAGGCTTTCTGACTCCTGAAACAGCATTTTCTGCTCCTTTCCCCTGCTAACACATGTATTTGCCTCATTGCTTTAGTACCAAGTCCATAAAGTTGTATTAACTGAAATATACACACCATTGCAATAAAATGGAGAGAAAAACTACAATTCAGCTTTGTTGAAAAGTCTTTGATTCTGCCCAAAGTGAGAACAACAAAACGAGTTCCCACCCATACAAAAAGGATGTGAAAACTGCATATTCCACTGGGTTCCCTCCTTTCAAGGAGTTTATCAAGTTTATTAAGCCAAGTTTTTAGTCTCAAGCATTGAGACTTCAAGTGGCTGAGAAAGATTCCAAAATGTGGAGTGACAGTGATGTACCAAACCTGTAACAGCTGCATTGGAACACCCCTGCGATACTCAGGACAATTAAAATACAAAATAAAATTTTGTGGAGTCATGATAGGAAAACATGACCTGGAGCATCTCTGTAAGCAAAATGAGACTGAGAACAGTGACATTTTAATAAAAGAATAAATCAGAACCAATCTCAGAGGCTGCTGACCACGTTCACTGCAAGCACCTCCCAGAGGTTTCTGTTTTGTGATCTCATGTAATTGAGAAGGGACAGGCCAAGATCACATCAAACAACACAGCCATGCTTTGGAGAAACACAGAACATGGTGCTATGAAAAATCCAGAGCATTTCTGATGACAAAGCTGCTCCACACACACAGCTGCTGGCGTGTGGCAACGCTGAGTTATGGGGTGTTTTGTCAAGAAACCTCTGTGATATTTCACCCCCAGACACCAGTTCTGTACACAGGAACTCTGTAAGATTTGCAGGCACTGCTAGAACCTGCCCCAAATCCTATTTATTTTTTTAAGTAATACAAAGAACGCTTATTTTTCAAGTGAATACACAGAATTCGCTGCGAGAGGAGCAGGATTCAGTTTTCCAACTGTTTTATTTTTTTTTAATTCAAGTTTCCAGCTCCAAGTCCAGCAACACCCAAGCATGTCATCACACTTATATCAATTGCTTTTTATTGTCAACACACATTTGTTAGTAATTCTACCATGTTTTGAAAACTGCAGAACAAGGATTCAAGTTCTACAAACATAATTGTGCCTTAATAGCCATGAAAATATTTATTGTGTTGCTGCATCAGACCCACTGCTATTCAAAGGAGCAGAAGTTGTTAAATGTACTTTAGGTATAATTCTGTATTGGATGTTCAAGTGCCTAAATGAGTCAGACAAGCAAATCTAAGCTGTTTTCTTGAGTGGGTAATTCTGAAGTGGGGACTCTGTTTGATGTCAGCCCATAATGAAGCACTAATTCACAGCCCACTCGCCCTGGTAAAAGTCACATTATTTAAAAGAACGGAAATTCCACTCTCCCAGCTCTTGAGGGCAAATAACAGCCTCAGCACGTTGTAATAGCTATGCTGGTAATGAGAACTGCTGGAGAAAACAGAGGAACACCAATTTGTTTCTTTAAAAAGAAAAAAACAAACACACTTATTTAAAAAGAAATAAGAAAACCCAGCAGCCTTCACCACCATCCCCTAACCCACCTGTGTGCATGAACAAATCTTGTTCCCCATCCCCCCAAACCCCAAAATTGGCTATACCAGTGACCATGAACTTGGTACTTCTTTAGACAGACACCCAAAACTAAACGTGCACTTTGCATAATTATTTTCCACAAGGATATTTGGGATACACAGCCCGTTAACCCCAACAGGAATCACCACACCAGGGCTGAAGCGAGCCAGTGAAAAACCTCCTGCTGCCTTGCCAGGGCCTGGATGG